ATCAGGTCAAAAGGAATCGAAAGGAGTGGGAAAAAAAGTCAATATGTCAGGTTGTTGACATTTTATCCAGACAAAATCATATTGAATTCGTGCCAGGAATCGAAGGCAGACAACATTCTGTGACTTTCAGAATCAAATATAAGAGCTTTCAATTTTTCAAAGTAAATTGTGTTTCTCAAACTGCAGACATTTTCTGGATTATCTGCATAATTATAAATAGATCGACTCGCAAAGAAATTGCCAAGTATGAAACCACGAAGTACCGCAATGGGATTTTTTCCACAACTGTACCAACATTATCTCACACTCAGATTCGGACTACTCATGTACACAAATGTCAAAAAACAATTCTAAAACGACTAATTAAACAGGCCCATCATGACAACTCGCCTTAAGTACAAGCATTTACCTAAAATACCCAGAACAAAAATCTTCCAATAGGGTAATAGTAAATTCTACAAGTTAACAATACCCAACAATTTAACTAATGATAACATTTCGCCTTTGATCATTTCCAATTCTACATACTAGCATTACTATGTTTTTAATCTTCACTAGAGTATTATTTGTCTGTATACACACTACGCCTACATGCTTCTTTTTAGTCTATAGCTATGTTATTGTGAACGCGACTACACTGTTTCGAGAAAAAGATTCACATAATACTAAGATATCTTATTCTAATACTATAAATTTCAGTAACATTTTCGAAATTCCGAAGTCCATAAAATTTAATTATCTCTAAGAAATCAATTACCGAAGAAAATTAGGGCCAATTACGAGCAGGGTTCTAATAGTGGAGACGATGTAACGAACACAATAGTTGGACTAACGGAAGGCAATTCAACGATGCATGACACATTGAAAATTACGCGCAGAAACAAACTCACCATGTGCTAGTTGAAGTTTTACGGCCCACTATACTGACCGAAGACAAGACAGCATTGGTAGCGTACTATTACAATCCCTTCACTCAGCTGCCGTGTGTTTTTCAAGAGAATTTGGAATACAACATCCAATTCACATAAATTTACAACCCACAAAATCTTCAGCCCAGTACTTCAGACAATACAGCAATAAATAATGTAATTTCTGGAATATTCCACGAACATTCTGTAAAACGCCATAAAATATTTTGAACTCTATCCTTACGTTTTTTGAATTCTATCAAACGCCAAAAGTAATTCAGCAAGATAAGTGCAAAGCAATCCATTATGGAGATTATGCGAGTAACTGTTAAATTTATAAATAATACTTTTGGTGTAATTTTCCATTCTTTAGAAGCCGTAATTACAGCTCTATTTACTTTTCTATATTATATATCTTAGGCATGATATCGTAAGTATAAACAAAACGCTTTATCGGACCCCAAGATCACGATAATTGGAAACACGCTTTACGATTTCCATTGTAATCCGCCCATAAAACCAGCGGTAAGAGGAAAATACCGCGAATTCAAGCAGCGGGTAGTAGGTCACGAAGAGCGCTCGACTCATTCGTTCGTCCAGATGCCCCCAGAGCACGCCTCGATCGGGCGGCCCGTCAACAATCGGCGGGTGGGAGGCCAGGCGGACCGGCGGAAAGTCCGGCCGGCGAGGATTGGCGTCGCCGGGCAGGTTCAACATAACCCGCGGCCGCGACAACATCCTCCCTCAAGGCCACGGCTCGCCGCGTATCGTCTGTCCCGTCCATCCGCTCCCCCCTTCTCTCGCGCTAATACGAAGCCTCTCGATCCACGCACCACCTCCTGGCGTCGCTTCGGCCAAGGAGGTGGTGACGGCGGGGAGGACGCGGGGCAAGCGAGCTAGCTAACACGCACGCACTGGTCCCTGTGCGCAAGAGCGGCTGCAGCCAGAGCCCTTCCATAGGAGACAACTACCAGTCCCAGCGGGCGGCGGCGCAACCCCTGCCAAGGTCATCAACGGGACCGCATACGGGTCCCACTTCCCCCTCTTCACGCCACACTGCTGCCAATCCACACAAAGCGACTCAGAACAAGCGAGTTCAGAACCAAAGATGCCGGCATGTACGTCCCCCCCCCCTCCTGGCTTCACCGAACAGCCGGCCGCCTTGCTTGCTAGGTAGTAGTCTCTACCGGCCCGGCCCGCCGCCGACTGAAGTGCCGCCGAGCGGATCGCACATGCACACGAAGGTCAACGCGAGTACCGCCGGCCGTTCCGGACACCGCCCCTCGAATCGAAGTGAATCAGCGGTAGGAGTGGGGGCTGGAGGCGAAGGCAGGGCGCGCTCACCGTCCCACGGGCCACTTTTCAAACAAATTCCCAACAACTAACTAGTCGGCGCTCGCCTCCGCCGCCTCCCTGCGTCAGCCCCCGGAATCACAAACTCCGCGCTCCTAAAATGAGACGTGGAGGAAAAAGAAAGACGGGGATAACCTTTACTCAATAACTTTCGCAACTTTCCGCTCCCTGCAACACGAGAAAAAGAACGCCGAGGGGATACGAGGAAGAAATAAAAAAAAGTTTTCTTTCCCAACTCCCGAAGACTTAGTTGTTGGATACAAAACTGCATGTGTAACTTTTGGAAATTTCATTATTTCTACTGCAGTCCAATTAAGCAGAAGTTAAACCGCACCAAGACGATTGCTCTAGACCAGGGGAAAACTTTTGCCGAGGTTTCAAGAAAAGATTATTACAAGGGAAGAAACGCAAAAATCTCGCCAGGCAAAGTGTAATTCTGAAAGAGTAGAAATTTATAACTTCCAGATCCTCTTTTTCGGGCGGTTAATGTTTTGCCGCGAGAGTTCGACCGCAGTGCAACATAGTAGGCCATGAATAGAAATATAGTGGGGGCCACCCTGAACAGAGAAAATACCTAATCTAGTGTTATTCTATCTGGGCTTGCCAATCTCACGCATCAAAGTCGACCGCCCCGTGAAACGATTTGTATAAAATTTTATTTCTTTCGGAAATTCCCTGAACTTGAAACATCTAAGTGTACTTTTCTCCTCAGAGTAATTTCAGATTGACCCAATTTCCACTTTTCGTCTTGTATTCTGAAGTTGGTTTCTTGCTTTCTGGCGTTATAAAATTATATTAGCGATAAAATACTAACATTAAATGAAATTTTGATACGTTGCGGTGTAACTGCCAGAGCTTGGCTGGAGTGTTCAGGAAGACTAACTGCCACGAAATTATGTGCAGTAAGAAAAAGGTACAAATTCTAACTGCAAAATTTAGCCCTCGATTAGAATGCTATCACGATTAATACCTTCAATAACCCGCCCGTAAAAGGTAATTTTAATAATTCTCACTGCTGCTGGATGAGATTGTCAAACAGTGAAACTTAATAGCTTGAGAATAATTATATTCGTTTCGAATTTATAAATAATATTGACTAATGTATATTTTATTTTAAAACATGGCGCATTAGTGTTGTTTCTTTGTCTCTTCTCTACCTCCTTGGTTACAGAGGATTTGGAAACTGGCAGAATTATTTTGTAAACCTAGTAGTCTGCCATTGTGCAACAGGTAATCCACATAGGCACATTCTCAAAACAATCAAAATGAAAATTCCACTCAAGAATGCCCCCGCTTTCTAATTATAAAATAAATATGTATTCGTCCAATACAGCAAACATTTTTCTTATACGGCGAAAATATATTCACACAATTGAATTGTGTATTACTTTTAACAATTCTTAGGAGCATAAAATGTCAATATATTTTTTTTCCGACTTAAGGTCGTTACCAAATTACCGCTTAAATGAGCATGTCCCTCGATCGATATACAAGAAAAATATTTAAATTAAAAAAATCTACACGAAGGATTTCGATGAACACTTAGGTCTTTGCAATCTGACAAAGTGCAACAGCACGTCAGAGAGGTTTCGTACATTGCCCCAAAAGGCGCAAAAGGATCGGCTTCCCTTCGCTATCCCGCCAGAAGACTCGTATCTCCAAAAAGCAGCTCTGACTGGCAGCCCTCTGCGAGGCGCGGAACGCATGTCCCTGGAACCGCCTTCGTCCACCGCGCCGGAAACGCGGGGGAGGAGCAACTATACCCGCGGAGATGGGAAGAGGAGGCCCCCGCGAAGAAACGCGCTGACCCCAAAACGCACTTCCGGTTTCAGGCGCGGCCGAGCGCTCACTTCCGACAACGCACCACGGCACGATGTTTTCGGCGCGTGTAGTAGCGTCGAGCCCCGTGATATCCCTTGATAGTAAAATGAACGGCACAAGGCCACGAAGGAAAGCCGGCGACGGATGCGATTTAGGTGGAGAGGGGAGGGGAGTTGGACGAAACCCACTGGTGGGGGGGGGGTCGAAAGGGAAGGAGAAAGGCGCGCGCGCGCTCCGCTTTGTGGCCTACCGCGCTCGGAACAGTTCGGTATTGTCACACGCGATAACTTGTCGCTGCCACAGCTTTTCATGATTTTTAACTATCTCTCCCGCATACACTCTCCTGTTCTGTCCGCTCTCACTCTCGCCGAAGTTACTCTCACAAACTCCCTTTCGCAAGTTAAGTCCTCGCCAGCCACCCGCTTTGACTTCTAACTAGGGCCAAATAGTCGCAACTGAGCAACAACCGCTCGCTCACTCCGCTTCCCACAATCTCCTTTCCAAACAACTGAAATGGAATTAACTAATTAACGGAAAACACTAGCTCCACCATCCCTTCGAGGGAGGGGGAGAAGCATCGAAGGGGAGAGCGACTCAGGATAGTAGAGCAGGTAGCCTCTAGAGATGGCTCTGCAAAGGCCTCCTTCCCCATTTTCAACAAGTTTCTCACAGATTCTCAAAAACAAACCCTTGCAATCGCACTCTTCCACCAACCCCAAAGAAAAATTTCATACTGAAACTAGAACCGTCAAATCTGCATAGCGAGTCTGAATAATCGCTTGATGCCCCGGCGCCAGCATCGGCGGTCACGCGCAGCGATCACTCGGGCAGTGGCACGCCGAGGCAGCGCACTCGGGCGGTTTTCCGTTTGTCTCAAAATAGAGCTCAGGAAGGCCTGCGGGCTCGCGAGAGAAAGGGATGGAGATACGCAAATCCGGCTGCGCGCACAAGAAAAAAGGCGCAAAATATACCAACGTTATGAAACCGCACTTGCGAGTTCTCATCACTAGCAATCGAAGTGAGTACCAAACCGCTTGTTTCCTCGCACGGGCGACGGGGTGATTCTTTCGTACGTGGTGCGTTTAACTCCCCCATTCAATTGTTTTGCTTTTTAAAATTGGCCTTGACTCGCAAATCACCAACACGCTTAGTCTTGTAATAATTCAACAACAAAAAACGTACAAATTCGATACCCCTATCTTTAGCCATGATTTTATTTATTTTGTCAATTCTCACAGACAAAAATACTTCCGCCAAGCTCCCTACAAGCACGAAAATTTTGTAAGAATTTGCAAAATGCCAAGAATACACTGCTAGCAGATGACTTCGATTGCATGCAATAACGACCCTACCTACACACAAAAATTGCAACCTGCAAATTCTTAGGTCTATTGAATAGGAATATTGTAGCATTTTCTGATGAGGTTTCTTTAATCAACACCGCTATTTTGTGTCAAAATTAAGTCTCCATACAGCTAACATTTTGTAAAAAAAAAAAGTCCTGCCAAGATTAATGAAAGTATAATGGCTCATAACTGACAAGCAGAGGGAGAAAATGTTTTCCTTGAATGTAAAAAAACGTAATTTTTTATATAAGCCATATTGAACAAATCTCAATTTTTCTCAAATTTCTTCAAACCTCAACATGTTTAATATCAATACACATCAACATCCTTGTACATTAATGAAAACAATGAACTTCAGAATTCTCACTTTGATACTAGCAAAATTGTCATGATCGACGATATTTTCTCATGTTGGTAATTCGTTTATTTGAGGCAATTACACAATGTCTGAAAAAACATGAACATGCAATTGCCATGTAACGATGTCGAGTTATATATATAGTAACGACACTATCAATGGAACCGATCACCTATCTACACAAGAATTAATAGTGTCTCAGTCTACTCTAGAAGCAACCAAGTATGTAATACAGTAGAAGAAACTTTTGCGAACACATTTTTGTGAACAAAAATAGATTGTTTTAGGCATAATTCAACAATCCAAGAAGTTGAGGATTCTCGAAGAAAAATCGCACAACACACAAAAAACTAGTTACTCAAGAAACTAATTAGAATATCTTTAGCTCATTGATGTTTTGCTATTCAAGATCAAAAATAATAGGAACTTCTCGGAAGATTTTTAACACTATGATCCAATTTCCAATCGCAACAAATACTTTGTTGGAAATCATGAAAAATTAACTGTAACTAGACGGTAGGTTAGAGCTTCCCCCACCTTTCCACCGTTCCCCATACTCCATGGCGGTGAACACTATTCTGTAGAAACCGCGTGCAAATACACATACTTAACAAGTCTCTTCGTAAACAATAGAAAGTGCATTCAAACCTTCTGATCTCGTAACATATATTCACTACAAATGGAGATCAACTTCTACAAGTTGTTTACTGAAGCAGATGCCGTCTAAATTCGCTACCTCCGGTAAACGTATGAACCAGCTACAATTACTATCATCGACACAAATTTTCTCTTCAAAATATTCTCACAACTTCAAAATACGTTACAACTGAATTACATTCATAAACGGTCGCTCCAACGACTCTACGAAATGGCTCATTGGTTGGCGTAAACGCCGACTCTTTCTGCTATACAAGTAACTTCATTCTTGAACTTCTCAATCCCCGAACAATAAAACTCATTTCACTAAGAGTGACATAAATAGGTCACCAGATACGTTTCTTCGGAAGGTATTGATCCACAATTACTGCACTTACCTTCCAACTTGACAGAAACAAAGACTGGCCACGCTGCTTTGTAGTTCCTCAACGTCTAGTTTTGATCACAATCTTCTGGTCACTTCTATACCACTTTCGAGTGCAATATGTACTTCACAAACACACATCGACCTTTCTTCGATATAAATGTTTCGCCAACAACAATATTTCAGTTCTAAACACACCAAATTTAAAAGAAAATACACGAAACGCGAGGGAAGAAGCACTCTCCCCACTTCACGAAAATGGTGTCCGTCTCGCTAAGTCTCGCGAGAAGATCCGCAAACGAGATTTCACGAGATCCCAACCCCTACTTGATGTACATTTTCTATGACTTGAATACTTGTGCCCCTGCACTTTTCCGTGAACAATCTTCCATGAAATCGTTGTGTATTAGTGCACTCTACCGAATTTCTTCCTACACTATCTAACGGTTGACACTTTCCCAACATTACGTCATCTCGTGGACATTAATATAAACTACGAAACCGTGTACCCGAAGGAAATGACATGTAGAGAATATCTATTATTTGCTCAATCGTTATAGAGAATCAGCTGAAAGGTTTGGTACAGGTATTATATTTTGACAACTGAAAATATTTAATTTTTGTTAAATTACTCTTGAAAGACGTCTTAATTTATTTTTGTAGGGGCTCTAATAATGGCAGATGTTAAATCTTTGGAGCATCCTACTTTGAAGGTAATTTGTGGCTTTATTGTTCGGGGATACAGGAATCACCTGTTTTCCCATTGTCATATGTTTTTACTAGTTGTCACGAGTATTCATTAAACGCTTGCGACGACACCCTATTGTAGGTCCCGTATGAACTACTAAATAAGAAGTTTCGTGCAGCACAAAAGCAATTGGATCGAGAAGTGTCGCATGTCCAGGCAGCTGCACTGGAATTAGAGAGAGGTTTACAAGCAGAAGTAGTTGGAGCAGGAGATATTTCTCGTCTATTAGGAGGAATGGTAGAAAGATTACAAGTTCTGAAACGCAAGGTAGATTGTTCTTCAAATTAATTTCGTTTAGAGGTAAGCAATGTATGTTCTTTTCATTCTAATAACTTCTGATTTTAATATTTCAAATTAACAGGCAGAAGAGAGTATATCAGAAGAACTTGAAGCTGCTTATGTCTGTAAACGTCGTTTGGAACATTTATGGGGACATGCAGGTTCTGGTTCCCTCAATGATAGTACACAGAGTGCTGTGAATCTGTGGCGTAGACGCCGCCTTGATCGAATGTTGGTAGAGTATTTTTTGAGGCGAGGGTACTATGGGGCTGCTACACGTCTGGCTCACCGTTCTGATTTGCGTGATCTTACTAATATTGGTATTGTTCTATTGAATGCTTTATCTAATATTGTAGGAAAAGTTGGCAACAAACAAAATAAATCTTCTAATCATTTGTTTTAGATGTATTCTTGGTCTCCCGTGAAGTAGAAAAGTCGCTTGCCAGGCGTGAAACTTCAAAATGCCTTGCATGGTGTCATGACAATCGATCTAAGTTACGGAAACTCAAATCAACAATGGAATTCAATCTAAGGATTCAGGAATTTGTAGAACTTGTGCGAAACGATCAGCGAATGGATGCTGTTAGGTTGTTATATTTGGAGCATAACGTGAGCTAAATGGCAATTTCAAATATAATCATGTTAATGTTTGTATTCCAGACATGCCCGTAAACATTTTTCAAGTTTTGAGGATGATCAACTTCAAGATGTTCAACACTGCATGGCTCTTTTAGCTTTTCCCACTAACACAGGTTAAACAGTTGATTCAAGTGTCATGATCATAGAAGAATAAAAATGTCTTGTACTTTGGAAGACTTGATTCCCAATCATTTTTGCCTCTTCTTCAGAATTGTCGCCTTACAAAGAGCTGCTGGACGAAAGTCGTTGGGATCGTCTTGTTGAGCAGTTTCGGCAAGAAAATTACCGCCTATTCCAACTTGCATCACAATCTGTTTTCACTGTAGCTTTGCAAGCAGGCTTATCAGCTTTGAAAACACCATATCCTTTTCTAATCAAAATGAATGTACATGTCCATTTATACATCTCAAAAACGTTGTTGTTTCCTTAACATGCATACTCAGTGTTACAGCAATTCTCGAGATGGCCGCAATCCTAGTTGCCCCGTTTGTCAAGAAGCTCTCAATGAACTTGCTTATCCTCTACCATTTGCTCATTGCTCACAATCACGATTAGTATGTTCTATCTCAGGGCTTCCTCTCAATGAGCATAACCAACCAATGATGCTTCCCAATGGATATGTGTATGGTGAACAGGTAAACTAAAAATGAATACCAAGTTAACATATTTTTTAAGTTTTTAGAGATTTTATATTTGCCCCTTTTTTGCCCAGGCCTTAGAACAAATGGCAATTGAAAATAATGGACAAATAATTTGTCCCAAGACAAAGGAAGTATACCCTTACAAGAAACTCGAGAAGGTATTTGTTATGTGAAACAATAATTCTGGACATTTGCGTTTATTTGTAGATTTTTTAAGAATATTTTTCAAGCTACTCACTCCTGTTGATGTATATTATTTGATAGTTTGCCTTTTTGTATGATCACTTGTCATTCATCTGAATAACCAGGTGTTCATGGACATAAATTGCCTTGTGTAGAACTTATTTTGCAAAATACAAAATTATTCCAGTGCTAAATATTCTTCTTATTCCACTCCAGATTTAGTAACCTATTCCTATTCTTGCTCTTCTTTCCAGTTCTATCCTGACACTCCTCCCTAAACGAAGTGAAAAACAATTTCCTTGTGTCCAAGGAATAACGATTCTTTCATCCAAGGAACCATATTGGCACAGCCTGCAGTGCTATACCATGCAGTTAGAGTAAAACTAAGAAAAGTTGCATATTTTAAAAATTAGACATAAAATGAAAAACTCTTTTTATTATGGATTTACAAAGATAATAGACAATAGTTCACAGAAATACAGTACTGATCTTGTGTGTACATACACAAGTGTTTATGTAGTTCCTCAGATGAGTCAACAAACATGTGTTGTGTGGCAGGACACTAAATCTGCTAATATGTACTTCCCAGATGCATGCCAATAACTGATGCAAAACTACCTTTAGAGTTTCAATCTTTGATAATACTCTGCTCCCATATGTAAACATTTCCCAAAGCATGACATTAAAATAAAATGCACACATTTTGTGTCTTGTCATTTCAATCAAATAATAAACAGAACAACCAATGTTCACTATTCTTGTCACAGCTGAAGTAAATCATACTGAGCAACAACTAAAATAATGTATTACCTTCCCTTGCTTGTATGAAAGAATGTCATAAGAAAAGATAGTTTCAAATTTAAATTCAGAATTGAAGATAAACGCTATCATAATGTCATTTCAAAGAAACCTGATAGAGAAAAATGAGATAGTTCATCTATTCAACTCTTGTTAGTAAATTTTCAACTAGATATGAATTATTGTTAAAAATAAGCATCAAAATAATGAAATCTCTTATTCAACATCAGTAATTACAGGGTTGTGTATTTTTGATAAAAGTTTTGTCGCATAGAAATCAAATCCAGTGAAAAACAATTTTGGTGAATTAACTTGAAAGTAATATTTGTACTGGGAGTTCCAATAATGTAAAAAATATTTAAAATGAAACTATATTAAACATGTGACAGAAGGTGTTCCATATGATATAATAGCATCTATGTTATGACTTAAAAGAATCATTCCAACTAGCTACCTGGATATAAGCACCCATCAATAATTACTTCTGAACACTTTTCATAAAAGATTGTTCCAGTTTTCAATATTTTGCAACAAGATGCAGGACATGCAACTTATTAGGTGTCCAATGATCTCAGACATCAGAGGGTTACTCAAGTGTATCAGAATTTTAGATCAATTTTTCAATTACAGTCATTTTGTATAATGTTATAAAATACTAATTTTTATTTCTTTTATATGGTGGCAGAAAATATGGACTTGTAAATAACAATGTGTACAATGGTTACGCATGCAAATGCATATTGAAACAGAGTAGCAAAATACAATATTTCACACAAACCTACAGAGGGAAAAAGTTCAATGATGGTGCGTTTACATGGTCGATCTTTTCAATGAAAGGAAAACTCAGTGACATGCAACATGAAAATTAACTCTAGTACAAAGTTAACTGGTGAAAGGTAGAAGAAACCTTTTAAAATTAATTCTTAGTAAATTAAATATTCCATTTTTAATAGTATACAAATAATGCTACAATTGCAATATCAATAAGGTAACTTCTTAATTCATTTCACACCAATCAGGTGTACGGATAGGAAATAAACATGACTGTACTTAAGAAGCACTCATAATTGATCTGCTTACAAACATTATCAATTTAGTTATGAAATCTTACTTGCAAATAATCAAAGAATGTCGAATCACATAATTGCACCTTTAATTTTAGACATACGCATTATTGTAGTAAGTGTTATTGTCTTTTAGGATCCATGCGTGGAGATTAATAAAATGTGCATGTGAACATTCTAGTAAATTTTTGGGAACAATGTCTTTCTTTTCTGGAAAATTATAAATAGTTGATATCCATAATATTTTACATTTATTAACAAACAAATTTCCACTTCAATTGTGATTTCAATTAACAATATTTTTTTCTGAAATTAATATTTTGTAATAATGTAAAACGAGAACTTTCTGTTATGACATTTCACTCATTCACATGGAAAAACGATAAATGCTATACTTAAAACATAAATTTTTTTCTGCAGTTCTCTACCTCCAGCTGAATGTGTAAGTGTATGATTGTACCAAATGTCTAGTATTAAATTTACTTTAAAATTCATAATTTAATTTCCTATTGTTATTAAGTAAATTGAACACTCCTTAAGCATCAAAACTGGGTCAATATTGAGCAATTTGCCTTTTTTCCACATTTCAAAATTAATTTTGCACTTTCACCATGGCCTAATGCTGAACAAATTTAATTTTTTCCTTCTTTTTCACTCACAATACAGACTTACATTCAACAGTAATTGCAACAATCAAAATATTGATAAATCAAATTTCAAATTATTAACTGCACATTGACTGCATATTAAATGTATGTTCCTTACTTCTTTCACCATTACTTATGAGGTATCCAATACATTACTTTTGTATAACATGGAGTACAATTTAAACAAGATTCATACACATCAAAAGTATTGATCTATTTGCATCAGCATAGAATTGAAAATGAGAATAAAAGAATGAATTTCAAATCAGGCAGAAAAACAAATTATATGTACTGTACTAATACCAACATCATTAGTGAAATCATAACCAATAACTTTTTTCTTGATTAACTTACTGCCAAAATGGAAGACTTGTTTGCATGAAGTTATATTACAGAAATAGATTTCCTATATGGTTTTTCAGAACAAAAAATATGAGACTAGTTCCAACTACTTCTAAATAAATTGTTCTTAGCATAATGTAATGTAATGTAAACTCATCCCAAGTTTACCAAATTTATTCAATCACCTAAACCAAAAAAAAACAAAATAACAACCTTGTATCAATGTGAAAATCTTTTGATATGTCATTTTATTAAGATAATCTATATAATGTAAGATCCCATCTATATTTAAATGCTTAGAGAAATTTGGATACATGTTACTATCAGAAAATTCGATAACTCTTGAATTGACTCTACATTAATGCAAATTAAGAATCCCTTCATTAAAGCACAACTTATTTACAGATTAGAAATAACTGAAATACATCCATTAATGTTTTTACTCCATTTGATAAATTATCTTAAATAATATTAAAATTGGTGACCCTTCGAAAGGCTCATTCCTTTTCATTCAAATGAAATATTAACTTATCTTCATTCAAAAATTAATTTTAAGAACAGTTAAATTTTACACTATTAATTCAAACAGGTCACTATTGACAAAATTGCCCCACCTACCCATTGGATACATTTTGCGAAAAAGTTTTGAAAATGTGTCAATCCAATGTGTTCAATCTTTAAAAATTATTTAACAGAAAATGTTAGTGTCATTCAAATTCAAATTAGTTTTGAGGCATCTATACATTTTTATTACAATTTTAACAATTACAATTATCCCAAAGTGCAATGAAAAATAATTAACTGTTAAAATACAATTAAATAATATATACAAAAAGTAACTAGGGTCTGTTAGGCCTTCATAAATTTAACAATTACTCCTACAATTAAATTATATTGATAAATGATGGTATAACTCCCTTCCACAATGCCTCACAAACAGGTGACTAGTACTTTACAATGACTATACTGTTAAATCTTTCATGTCATAACAACTCTTGCTCAGTTGCAAAGAGACATTATAATTTTAAAAAAAAGGAAATAAATACAAGTCCTTCATGTTTTCAATAACTTGGTACATTCACTTAAAATGTCGACAATTATCGAAAAAAAAAAAATTGTTGTTTCCTTTCACAGTTTACGAAATAAGAATTTCATTCATTATAAATATTTTACACAAAAAAGCAAAAAGAGGTAATAAATTACACAACTGCATATTACGAAAATCTGAAAAACAGGCAACATACCCTAGTCAATTAGTCCATTACTGTCTTTAGTTTTGTTTTGTTTTAAAGAAGACATTCTAGAAAATTTGTATTATTTTTGTTTGTATTATTTGTAACTTTCGGTTTTAAAAAGAAAACCATATTACCATACAAATCAGCCCCATGACATAATTCATTCAATATAATATTTACAAGTTTTTTTTATTGAGATGTGCATTCATATATGCAATGATTGCACATTTACAATTACTTAGAAATTATGGCTTCAAATTTCCCTAAAAATGATCTCAAAACAAAACAAATTCTGAGGTGTTTAGAGAAAAACCTAATTAAATTAAAGAAATTGATCCAAAAACGGTCTAAAATTACAAATTACCTCTAATATTCCATTAAACTGAATTTATTTACTCAAAAGAAACACCTGCACAAAGAGCTTAGCAAATGTGATACACTGAAAATAGACCTAATTGAAACCAAAATAAAATGAACTAACTTCATAAATTGGAACATGCAAAGCTAAGTCAGACAGTTGCAAAAATAGAAACAATAAAAAACTTCAGTGCTGTTGGTATCTGCAACAATTTACTTAATTATATGCAAATAATGAAGTGAATATCTACATAAAATCAACTTCCTCGCAGAAATTCACAAACATAGATTAATATACGTTTTTCTAACCCTATTTCGATAATTCGTAACATAATGAAAAATATATTAAAGAATATGCAGTTTAAAGCTTTATAAATTTTTTATTCTCCAATCAGAGCTTCTAAAAACTATGAGTTATAAAAATGAAAGCTAAATACACTACATATTAAAATTCAATGTATAAAATCAAGATGAATAGTCACAAACCTACATTTTGCCATTTAGGAAAAGAGAAAAAATGTTTTTTGAACAAATCAACAGAATATAAAATGTACTTTTCTAGTGATAGAAATCTAGAAGTCAAACAGATGTAGAAAAATTTAATGACAATTTAGTTATTAAATATTTTATTAATCGCCAATAATTTCTAATAATGTGTTATGCAATTACAAAACTCATGGATAAAAATAATATATTTAAAGGCCATGAAACATGCTGTTAACATTTCAGTTCTTGAAAAAGGAGTTGCCATGTAACTCTAGCAAAATATGAAAATTACATCTGAAATTATTTTTATACAAATCTTTAAATGATAATTCTTTATTTTAATATAAAAGCAAGAGAAATTCTCCATACAAGACATTAACCTGCCTTTCCCTTATTTTTCTGTAAATAATTCTGAGTTGCTTTGCATATTCTGCATCTTAATTTTTATCACTCATAAACTACACATGGACAATATTTACACACAAAAGTATAACAGAAGAATATATTTAACATTATTCAAAAATACATTTAATGTAAATTAATAAGACCCATAACAGTAATGCCTCTCATGAAAAAATTGTTTTCATCAAGTTTAAATGAATGTTTAAATGTTATCTAACTTAAAACATCAACAATAAATTTATATGTAATTGATTTAAAAATGTAGTATGAAAATGTGCAATTTCAAGAAAGAACAAATATTTTGAATTTATATATCACTCCGACCTGTTAATATTATACATGAAATTCAAGGACACAAAAAAAATACAACTAATATAACGAATTTTGAATTAAATACATATTTAGTGTAATGAATTTTCAGAAGATTGAACGCAATATTCAATTAATAGAAATATTCTTCAATATAATGAATTTGACCATGCCTGCTCACATAGAAAATGCAAATATCTTTTAAAAATATTTTCTTCCTACTTACATTACAGTAAAAAATTAATTTTCTTTCCAAACATTTAAATGCTAAAACACAACAACGAGAGAACATCACAGATTTTCGGAAATGCAAAGCAATATGAACTAAACGTTTTTTGTTGTTTCATAAGTAGACCTCAATTTTTGCTTCAATCTTTCTATGTCGAAACACTGCTTGGCCAAAACACAAATAAGGAGAATGTAATTTTTGATTGCTAAATGTAATCTCATGTTCATTAAGTACTACTGTAAGAATTTATTGAAAAGACAAATTTAGAAAAAGAAAAGCATTAAAATGGGAGATAAAAAAACGCTTAAAAATAGAAATACAAAAATCTAGTGATACAAATTGGTCTTTTTCCATCTGTGCATTTAAGGCAGTTTCAATAAGCAACTAGACATCTGGATATCACTGACAGAACTGATGCTAAAATTAATGCATCAAGAACATACTTTTTTTTTTTACACAAAACAAAATTTTTTAGTTGCAAAACTATCATAAGAATATGTATTTGCATTTTATGCTAGTCCCATGTGACACAGGACAGGAAGGACATATACTGAGACAGTATATATAATCATTCCCAAGCCTCAATTCCTATTTCAAATAAACTCTGAAATTAAAACAATAAGTGAGGAATCTACTCATAAACTATCACAGGACAATTTGAGCAAAACACTTCAAATAATACAAAATAAATAATATAATTAAATGAAACACAAATTCCCTCCATATTTTTCCTCTCATTCACCTTGAAAAATTATTGATGGAAGTCAATTGGCTGGTAGTAAATGAATCTCCAATACAACTTCATCAATAATACCATCACTACTCCAAAGTTATTCCCAAATATTAGGTTTTTAAAAAAAGTTTTATCATATTTTTCAACATCTATTCTCCATCACATGCTCAATGATATAATCCAGTCATGTAGACATATTTACACATGTTTACAAGATATATTTAATTCAAAAATTGTGAACCAAAAGTGTTATAATGGCAGTAAAAGAAGAAAAAAAAATCATGTTTCACAAAATACAATGTTATGTCCCTTCAGCAATACAAATTATCAATCTTACTTATATAACACCAAGTAAAAATTATTTTTACAATAATTTTCATGATTTCTGTACGATAAGCCAGATAAAAAAAGAAAAGAAATACATTTTACTTATTATCAAGCAAATTATGAAAAATAAGGAACATCAGTAATATGAAATCATAAACATGAAAATACATTAGCTACAAGTGCCTTAATATAACAAAAAATAACTTCAACTTTTCACTCACAGAGTAAAATTGCTAGATCATTTTCAAAACCTGCATCATGCCTTAAAAAAAGTACAAAACTTAAACAATAACAATGAAATTGTGCACAAAAATAATATATAAATTGAAATCCTGGAAGATTGTACAACTTCTAAAACTCAACCGGACAGCTACATATATAACACACAGACCTATCCAAAAATAATGAGTTGTAATTCATGAAGTTTTGTGTCTTGAAGTATGAGCCTCTTGTTTTGTTTTTACAAAATTACACCTAATATCATAGGATATTTCAAAACATTCAATGATCCATTGAACATCTTATTTAAAAATCATCTTCAATTAAAAAAAAAAGAATCACATACTCCAATAGGCTTTCTTTCATACAGGAGCTGAATATATTTTAGCAATGTAGAAATTTTTGTAGATTAATTTGGAAGTAATCACTTCAATTACCATAAATAACACAATAGCAGAAAATGTTTCTTAAAAAGACAAAACGACTCCATACTTCAGATTATCTCCATGTAATATAAAAAATGTTGATCATAGCAGCCAAAATACTATACATCATCTTCTCTTAATGAATGACCTCTGCTATTATACAACTTCGAGAGATTCAATAAGTTTGTTCAAAATTAATTATATAAACACAGTATACAAATTACATTTTTTCTTAAATCTTACAATAATTGCTTGATTTGTAACCATTAATCATTAAATATTGTATTATTATGCAAAGAATACAGTGTGTAATTCAATGCTTCTACATTTTCCTTTGGGGTCAAAGACATACATATAATTTCCAGAACTATAATCAACTGGTTCCTACAAAAATTAAATTTATACTCACATACCTATTACATGTGAATTCACATGCCTTTTAAATTCTCTGTGAACAATTTAAAAAATTGCCCATCTTCCTGAGTTGAGAAGCTTTAATTCCATTGGGAATTAAATATTGTGCAGAATTGTTCATTTATGTAATTTTATCCATTTTCAAAATTTCACACACACAATGTTCCTTGTTAGCAGATTGACATACTACTCTTGCTTGTTGCTGTGCATGTTCAAAGCACATCTCAAAATATTCTCAATGAGCAACTCCAACTTTCAGAGTGATATAGACCCATGTGCTTTACAATAGGTCATACAACATTAAAGAGGTATTAAGGAAACTAAAGGTGGAAATATCATGGAGAACACAACCCCAGAAAATATTCCAGTGATCATAAAAGCTCCACCAAGCATTCCTGCTATGGGTGCATTCTGAGGTTCCACAGATCTGGCAAAAGAAAATCATACAAAAAAATCAGTGTCAAAATAGAATCTAAATAAATTTTTTTTGACTAGGGAATGGATTTTATAGTAAAAAAAAGCAAAATATGTACACATATACACTTATTTTTTCAAAATTATAAAAATAATTAGAAAGTAAAAAATAAAATTCATAATACTGTTTGAAAGTGTTCTCTTAGAGCATTTTCAAATTTGAAAGGAAAAAAAAGTTGCTTATCAGACTTTAAAATGAATTTGAAGCAGTTGAAAAAAGTTCTACCTCTCCAGTAGTTATAGAACACCAGACTTCCATGAAGAATGATTTTTAAAAGTATTAAATATATACATAGTTGTTTACAGACAATCTTCTTACAAGAATCACATGGGCAGTGTTTATTTGCATCATGACATAGCACATGACATTGCTCAAGAGCATCACGACAATGCTCCCCATACACCAGGAGTGAGCAAGAACTAGTGGTACCACAGAATGACACAGACTTTCTCATACTAATTAGTTTTTGTAATTTCTTTAAATCATTTTTAACAGTGCAAATAGCACTACCATTTGGAAAAAATTGAAGAAAAAATTTGGAGCAATTTTTGAGCGAATTGCATTTGAGGAAAATGAATTCTGTGCCTGACTCATGCATGCAATAATGAAAACAAATTGCCGCTAATAAAAATATTAACAATGTGTTTAAAAAATTTTAAAAATTACATTTTTGTAATTTTTAAAAACAAAAGAATAGAGCATCAGGATGTTTATATCATTGTAGAGTGCATTTAGAACTCTCACTACAAGTTTAAAAAAATTTAAGAAATTTGAATAAAGAAGAAATTATATTTTGGAGGCGTCAATTTGCGGTTTGCTAATAGTATAACGGAAATATTTGACGACTATTAAAGAACAGTAAAAAAAGATACGGACGGACCGACGGACGGACCGACAGACGGACGGACGGACCGACCGACAGACGGACGGGCGGACGGACCGACAGACGGACGGGCGGACGGACCGACCGACCGACAGACGGACGGGCGGACGGACCGACCGACAGACGGACGGGCGGACGGACCGACCGACAGACGGACGGACCGACAGACGGACGGACGGACCGACAGACGGACGGACGGACGGACCAACAGACGGACGGACCGACAGACGGACGGACGGACGGACGGACCGACAGACGGACGGACGGACCGACAGACGGATGGACGGACGGACGGACCGACAGATGGACGGACGGACGGACCGACAGATGGACGGACGGACCGACAGACGGACCGACCGACGTTTTCGGTGTCAGGGGACTCCGAAACTTCATTTCTGGACCTCTGGTTTTCTTCATCTTGAAATCTGAATATCGGTTTTCCACAGTTTTACATAACTGTGTGTGCTATGTATATTACTCGGTTTATACGTACGTATACGAGTATGTATCTTGAGGTGATACAGAATGTCAGTTGATATTGCCGCCAAGATACATTTTCTTAATTCTTCGGTTTCCTAATACTAGAACGGAAATATCGTAAGAATATTAAAGAACAGTAAAACCCGTACAAAACGGCAAATTTTCATTGGAAAAATCTGTAGACGTTTTAAGAAAATGTCGCTTGCTACTGTATATTGGAAATTTAAAAATATTTTCAACAAAACTTTTGAGTTTTCGAAAAAAATCATTAAAAAGATAATTTTAGCCACTCTAACCCACAAATACAATAGTGTTTACAAATTGCTAGAAAGATGCATATTAACGTCATGATATCTTTTGAAAACGTGTAATTTTTTAAAGAAATATATCCCGAAATTAACTTTACGTTTAAAGATTGTGATTAGAACTAACTGTGCCAAATTTTGAAGAAAACATTTGGAGCAGTTTTTGATAAATGGCGTTAGAGCGTTTCTAAAAATGCGGAATGTTGTGCTATTTGCAAAGAAAATGGTAGTTTTCGAGAAACTTTATATGGAATTATTTAAAGCATATGTACTCATAAATATGTGAACAAATTGCTACTAGTATAAATATTAACGACGTGAGGCACAAGTAAAAAAATAGTTTTGTAATTTAAAAAGAAAAGCAAAGGACAGAGGAATATGGTATTTACGTCATCTTATAGAGTACAGCACAATTCCTACGAAAGGTTGAAAGAAAAATGTTTGGAGGCGTTTTTGAGAAAATCTTGTTTGTGTAACGTTTTAAAATTGCATGTATTGGTCGCAATCTGGCGCGAAAAAGTTCTAAAATTTTCAAAACAATGCACAGAACAAAATGTATTTGAAGGGAAAACTATATGCAAAAAAAACGCATGCAAAAGTGTGTAGATCTGCATGGGGAATATTTTGAAAAACAATAAAGTGATTTTCGATGATTAATATTTGTTTTTGTTCTCTAATCCTGAAATACAAAAGGCAACCCTCATATAACTCATACAGACGACCATTTTAGGTCGCTGCTCAAGAACGTATTTTTTTCTTTTTTCTTTTTTTCTTTCAGTAATTGCGATCCACTTGTTTATTCATTATTAAAGAAAAACTGTTAAGCCCATCTCGACCCTCAGCATAATACCCTTACGCCATTCCTCTTTAAATTGTAGATGTGAACCAAACTGCGGTTCCTCAGGGCCAGAGAGATGCAACTACGATAGTCAAGTGTTTCCAGTTTTCATCACTGGATCCTTCGGTGATTGGCACAGAGACCAAACACCGAAATTATAGCTGTAAATGTACACACACCGCCGAAAATACCTTTACATGTATTAAAACCTCATTCGTATTACCATAAAAATACTATTAATATACCATAAAATACTATGACATGAAATATCAGCATTTTTAGAGATGTTTTAACTTTGCAGGAAGTTTCGAGAAAACCCAGATATTTCAGTACAATCACGCCGGTATTTTAGAGAAATTGAGAAATATTAGAGTAATTATTAACACCAAGAAGGCTGCAGTGTTTGACCAGGAACATTCTCGTGATCGAGTCTAGACGGTGGCGGATTTTCAACTTCAGCCATATAGCTGGGTCAATTTTGCTGTTATCTTTAGAATAATTCTAGTGACCTTCAAATTAGTTTTCTGTGGTTTCCCCGATCAGCACTATGCGAATACTGGAGTAGTACCTTAATCAGGATACAGATTGCAAGAGATCTTTCCTTCCACATCATTTCGCCTTACCGACACACCTATGCATGCACTACACTACCACACATGTCAGAAGATAACTCAGTTTGTTCCATCTAACAGTTCCACATCTTACACAAGTTTTCTCTCAATTTTACAATGTTTGTCTGGCACTAAGACTGCAAATCAGAGTACTAATATAATTCGCATTCTACATTGGTAATGTTAGGAATACTATCTGGTCCCGGAGCCTTGTTGAGCTGAGGGCAATGTTTTGGGAACTGGGCCCCAGAGTTGTTACGAACTCTGCTGATTGCATGAAGTAGCTCTTTCTTACAGCTTATATCATTTCCAGCTCAAATGGCATCGTTAGTCACACAGCCAGCGAATAAAGTCAAAAGATTTCAGGCAGGCTGGGGACACTGTGCCACCTTTTAAACTGGCCAATGCCTGCCTAGTATGATCTACCCAATATCACTACCTCACACAGACTTTTGAGACTGACATTCACTTTTCTTATCTATCTTCTGTAGATCCTGGACCAGTTTATTTTTTTTATTATTATTATTATTATTATCATCATCATTATTTTGCAAGTTGGCAATAGTATCCCAGTCACGAGTTGGCTGGTAGTCTCATGATTCGAAGTCAATATTGATACAGTTGAGCTGCTAATCTAGGAAAAGTCGATTGTTGTTTCCTTGCCTGGACTTTGATACATCACAAGCCCTGGTAACCCAAGTCAAAATTTGTCGAGCCATCACTACCATCCCTGATGGTACTATCTTCATAGGTGAAATACTTCTCGGTCAAACACTTTGGCTTTCAAACCTCTTCCCTCCTTTTTTCAATCAACTCTCCATTTTTTAAAACTTTCTTTGAATTGGAACCTCATTCAAAGTGATGGTCGTTTTGAGTGCTGTGCTCAATGACTCTCCAGTTCGCAGCAACCATAAGTCATAAAGGTTTACAGGTCCCGCATTTTCAGAATAGAGCATTATGTTCAAGATGAAGGGTGATTCCAGTACTGCTCGACCTCACCTATTCGCTGGTGAACTACCCCCACCCCTTCCCCCACACGTTGAAGTTTTTGCTTCTAGGCGAAGAATGCTTCCTCTTACAGATACAAGAGTATCGATACTAAACAGTCGAAGAATTGTTCAATTTTGACAAAGGTTTGGTGAAATGTAGTACATATAATATAACGTAGACATCTATTTCCCCTCAGGCAAACTCAAAAACTCCCCAAATTGTTGGGTTGGACACTTTACACACATCCAAATTTCCCTTTTGTTGTGGTCTGTTACCCATGATGTACGGGGTAACGGTTCCTGTATTGTTCTTTCAGAGTTGCGACATCCGCTTTCCACTCCCACAGAGATAGTCTAAAATGTCCAGAAAAACTTAAAAATTGTTCAGATTTATAGAATGATTCTCATTGTAACCCTGTCCCCTATGTATTGCCTTTAGTGCTCTTTAGAAAAGATGGTAACTATTGCACCCCTTAGCATGTTTGCTCATTGCCTCTTTTGCCATAGAAGCTTTTTCTAATTTTCGAACACAATGTCGTCAATCAGACCTTAACATGGATAGACGTTCTGAAAAAAATTTCTAGTACTTTAGAAATAATTGGACACCAATATAAAGAATAAAATATGTACGTAATTTTGCATCCCTGAAGTATGGCTCCCATCTGGGTGCAGAATACACAATAAGACAGTACCCCATGAGGTATGTTTGTCATATTTTGAATGACAGGCTCTGTGAAACATGAGAACCATGTGGTTGTGAAAATTGGATACTTGCAGAAGTAATCCCGCTTCACATTTTTCTGTTTGTCTTTAATTCCAAGTATGCAATTTCCGAGATTCAAGAGTTAAGTTTGACAAATCAGTGATGGTCCAGTGGTCATAAAAGCTCAGTATTATTTTCTTTGTTTCACAGAAATATGATACCCAGAACTTTTACTTGCAAATTTGTAACTGAAATATTCCATTTCAATGCATAAATATATCACAATGTAAAAAATATGAATTAATAGGCTAAATATGTAATTATATCCAAATATGTAAAATAAAAAAAGGTTTTGATTCATTCAGAATGTCATGGAAACTCTAAAAAAATTTACTAACTGTAGGCATCTTGTACCTACAAATATATATATTTACATGAAAATCCATTCCCTAAACATAAATAAGCTCTTGAAATGTACTATTATGTAAAAAAATTGCATTATATGCAAACACAATACTTTCCTACCACACATCCTCCAATTAACATAATTAATGACATTGCAAGAGATAAAGTGTAAGAATGAAACTGAAATTTGAAGTTTTGCAAGTCATTGTGGACTTTTGCACAGTATGAAGTACCTTAACATATACTATGTTTGGGCATCTGCAAATAAGTAATAGTTCTCAACTTTCAGCAGAGACTTTCGAGTCAATATTACTATAGAAGTTTAAAATATTACTTCCACTTAAAATTAAAATAATACAGGTACATAGAAATCACTAATATATCAAAACACAAGGGCATTTTTAATATAAAATTCAAGCTTACCTAGGACAAAACTCCATACCCAAAGCACTGAAATAACCACTTGTAAAGGCCATTAGTACAACACCACCCCAAAAAACATATTCATTATATATGAGAATAGTTAAAATTCGCTTATCATGTGGAACATAGTTGCAAAAGACAAAGAACGGAATGAATAGCACTCTCAATGTAACAGGAATGGCCAGATATTTTGGTGATGGCTGCAAAATGAGAAAATAATTGCATGAAATTCAAATGCATAGAGGGCATTGAAATAGAAAATGGAACACTTTTATGAAACTCCTACCCAAGAAATCCATGTAGCTAGAAGACTACCCAGCATAGCACACACGTTGAACGTTAAAAAACATGTAACATCAGAAAAAATGTCTTTAGGAACAAAGAATTTCTCATTGCTTGGTTTTATACCTGAAAACAAACATAACAACACAGTTAGAACCTAGTAACATTCTTAATTTCACCAATGACCAGTGTTACATTAAATACATGCAACAACTTTTCAAGAAGAGAAAAAAAATCAGCTTAATTACTCGCAATAAGAGCAGGGAAAACTGCAAGAGTTACAAAGAAAATAAAGAACACATTGTACAACTGCGGCCAGCATTGCTTGATAATAGTTCCATATGGGATTCGAGGTTTATGTGCTCTACCGCCTGCTACTTGTCTGTGTTGCGTCTTCTTTCCCAGAAGTTCATGGTAACGATAATATCTCTGGAAAAAAAAAATACAACTGATTTATAGAGCACTCAGTGTTCAATAAAAACAGTTTTAATTTTGGTATAATATGTTTGAAATACTGATTAAAGTTAATTCCCTTACATTTAATGGTAAAGCAAAGTAGGTATCAAAGCACACCAACAAAACAAATAAGGCTGTAATAAAATAGTAGATAGCAGCTGTGCGGAGGTTTGGTGCCGACAATCTAGCAGCCAAATTCAGTATTGATGTAAATGTTCCACTAATGTTCTGTTGGGAAATACAGAGTGTCACACACAACTTTAGAAATTACTCCCATGCACAATAATTAAATAATTGTAAGTTAAATTATATTTCTCTAGTTTCTTCATTATATCAGTAGATAATTTAATGATATTGAAAAGGGCACATGTGTACATACTGTTCCAAGTATCACCGCACCAGTGTACTTAAATGGTAATTTCGCTGCCATACCAAACACAGTATTCTGGTAAATTCCATTTGCCACTGCAAAATATAGATTAGATTTTAACATTTTAGATACATAATTAAAAGAATTGTTTACGATTCATTAGTTACTTACTATTCAATAAAATAACGGTAAGTATAGTGCACCAGAAGAAGGTACCACGCCATTCTGTTGAATCAGTCATGGCCAATGCCACTGTAAATATAAACAAGACCACTTCCACCATAATACTCCACACAATTCTTGTAGTTAAGTTCCCTCTAAATAAACAGAAAAATGAAATATTATTTGGGATTCCACAAAGTAAATGTAAATATAAAGCAAAAAATGATTTGCACCGTAATTCATTTATTATTACTATTATTATTATTATTACTACTATTACTACTATTATTATTACTATTACTACTATTATTATTACTACTTATTATTAATTACTATTATTATTACTTACTATTATTACTATTATTATTACTATTATTACTATTATTATTACTATTACTATTATTATTACTATGTACTATTACTAATTACTATTACTATTATTACTATTACTATTATATATTACTTTTGTTATTACTATTACTATTATTTTTATTATTATTATCTTATTTTTATTATTTATTATTATTATTATTTTTATTATTATTATTATTATTTTTATTATTATTATTATTATTTTTATTATTATTATTATTATTATTATATTATTATTATTATTATTATTATTATTATTATTATTTTTATTATTATTATTATTTTTATTATTTTTATTATTTTTATTATTTCTTATTATTCTTATTATTCTTATTATTCTTAATTATCTTAAATTTATTCTTATTATTCTTATTATTCTAATTATTCTTATTATTCTTATTATTGTTATTATTGTTGATTATTATTATTATTAGTATTAGTATTATAATTATTATATATATTTTTTGTTGTTAGTTTGAAAGCTTAGCATCTAAGGCCTTTAGCAATTTTACTGATAGATGTTATGATTAATCATATATTAAATCTAAATTTTGAGAAAAGATTGGCTTCTTTCAAGAACTGTATTGTTTTTGTCATTTGCTGTCTTGTCGGTGCCGAGATCTATCTTCATGTTGCCTCTCATGCCGCATCTGTTTCTAAGTCTTGAGAGATCTACGCAGTCTGTCAGAATATGTTTTCACTGTCAGAAGTCTTCCGCAGCTGCAGATGGGTTGTTCTACATTTCTTAACATGTATGAAAAGTCATTCTTGCATGGCCCTATTTTAGTCGGGTTATGCACACTTGTTCTAGTCGAGGGTAGCTGAACATTTGGTGACCATTTACTGATATTTTGTTTTAATGGGGTGTAGTTTCTTGTGAAGACGTGGTCTGCGCATTCTGTGAGGATGCACTTCGAGACAGCATTTCTTGCATCCTGAGGTCGTATTTCAATATCCATTTCCGATGGATGTTCCGGCATTTCGTGCTGCAGAATCGGCTTCTTCATTGCCTAGGATACCCACGTGTCCAGGGCACCAGATGAACGTAACTGATGCTCCTCGCTGCTCTAATTTATGGCATGCTATGAGAATCATTGCAGCAGTGGATCTACAGATTTGGCGCCTGTCTATTGCAGTGAGAAAGACTTAGAGAGTCTGTGCAGATGAACGAACTTTCTGAATCGAGAGTTTCACAGTGTCGCAAAGACTGCAATACTGCAATATAATTCGCAGTGTACACACTTGCTTAGGTGGAAAGTGCCTCAAGCCCTGACAAGTTCTCAGTACAATGCCGCTGTCCGCGCTGATGTTTTGTTTTGAACCATCTGTGTTAGAATTATGATGTATTTGTCATGTATTTTCGAGAACTGATTGAAGATCGTGACTTTTTAAATCTAAATGGGGAAGCATTCTGTTTTTTCTTATACTGGTAGTATCGAGTCTTACTTCTGGCATTTTCAACATCCGGAAACTGGAATTTCATAAGGTTCGTGTTTCAAAACCCTGGTGGTAGGACGATTGTAGCACTTGGCTATCTCGATTGCGGCGAATGTTTGAGCTGGACGAGTAGCTGAAGGTCCTTTATCGTAAATATTTACTAGCTTAGGTCGAGTCATCACATGAGTGATTTAACTGTTTCGGTAGAGACAGCAATTTTGATCTATAATTCAGTAGCATTGTTTGTCGTCTGTGATTGTAGCGACCATGGTGCTGGTTTCACAGTAGAGGCTTGAGGAAAGACTAGTGCGGAACGCGCCAGTGCATATCGGAGACCTGCCATTGTGAACGAGGTCTAGTTTCCTTAAAACTTGATTTTTTCTGGCGAGGAGTTACACATGCACATCGCATAATCTATTATTGGACATCACCATGGATTTGTAGGCAGGCGCCAGTTAAGATGTCTCTTATCTGCTCCCCAATTTATATGGAAATGCATCTTTTAATTCAAGCTGTTTTTGGCATCTATGCAAGGTATATTGCTATATGCTGTTTCTCCATGTTAAATGCCTAATCAAAAATCAAGCCAAGGAATTTTGGCCGTTTCATTGTCTGCCAGTTGAAGCAGCCATCAGCGTCAGCTCACGATCTCTGTAACTTTTCTTTTCCGACTGAAGTGGACCAATTCGTTTGGCTGCTGTAAATGAGAAACAATGTTTTTTGCGTCTGTACTAATTTATTGATGGCATTTTTGGCATTTTGAATTTGCACCATTCCAGTGAATTTGGGCTGAGTAAAATATGCAATTCATCTACATACATGTTTTCCTATTGACGGCTTTCTATGCCGTTTTTCTGCTGTACGATTACATAGATCTTGTTTTTTCTTGGTTTTCCGGGGTTTTGGCATCCTTCCTTCTTTTCTCTTCTTACGCAGAGTTTTGCATAATCGATGGATGGAATCATTATTTTCAGCACTTGGCCATCGAAACTTGTTTCAGAAGCCAGTGGTTGTGTCTTGATCCATTGGTCATTGATTTCATTTTTTGGTTTTGAGGAAGTTGTCCTCTGTGTTCTTAAGGAGAACGCAAGGCGATCGACTTCGGATAGCCTGTTTTCGATACTTCTTTGCTGGGTTATGGCTGCAGGGCCGCAGCACTGGATTACTTTCTGCCCCTTGGTGGGGATCTGAGATTCTTTTCATTTACTATTTCCACTTTGAGGTGTTTGAGGTTAAGTCTTCTGTGCGCGATTTTATTCTTGTGAATTTCCGTGGAAGTAGCTTTTCTATGCATGGGTTATTGCAGCATTAGTTCTTTCACTACTAAAGATGTTTTTTTTTTTAAACTGCTTCCACGTATGTAATATTACTTTTTTTCAGTAATATTTTCAGACTCACAGGTTTTTTTGCTTCAGTAAGCTGATCTTTGTCTGCTTTAACTTGCCTGAATTGCTGCCTCCTGCTTATATATTAGGCGCACTCTCTTGACCTCGATGAATGTTGTCCACTGCAATTAATGCATTTGGATAGGATCTAGGCATGGATTCATCCCTATGAAATGGCTTACCACAATGACATACTTTTCATTCTCACACATTAGATGCTGGTGTCCAAATCGCAACATGACACATTTTTTTTTTTATTATTATTATTATTATTATTATTATTATTATTATTTATTAGTAATATTAATTAATATGTTTTATTATTCTTATTATTTAATTTTTATTTATTATTATTATTATTTTTGATATTATTATTATTATTTTTTTATTATTATTATTATTTTTATTATTATTATTTTATTATTATTATTATATATTATTATTGATTATTATATTATGCATCAGCACCTCTAACAGGCATATAATGCCTAAATACATTTCGTTATACCATAGGTTATATGCTCTTGAAGACTACAAATATTCGTTGTGTCAATAAAATAAGTTATTGTCAATTGTCTGCATATCGTTATCCAGTGAAATGCTAATATGAGTTGTTTGATCATTTTAGCTATTGCCATTGTAATTTCAAGTCAATCAATTTCATTCATCTATGTATTAGGATTCTGGCTAAACTGGTATAAGCAGAATTATAGAAATAGTGGTTCTACAGTCAAAATTCTCTCAGTAGAGTAGATCTTCCACATTCGTGTATGGATGTCATACAATGATACATATTTCGAAGTGATGTACTTTTTAATTTTTCCAGTCATAATTTATTCATAAATAACATGTCGTGTACTATTGCTCAAGGGATGATAAGATGGTATTGCCAATAGCTAGATATTTCACTGTAGTCATGATTATACCGCGGATTAGGTTTTTTAATTTGAAAGCTACATAAGAGGAGAATAAATGTTGAACTCGTTCTATCTTTTGCAAGCATATTCAGCATTTTGGTGACCAGACTGAAGAACAATACATCAATTTTGATTTGACAAGGGAATTATAAAGAGTTTTAATAGTTTCATTGATTTAAATTTACAGTTTGTCTTTTAATAAATCCAAGTTTTTTCAGTGAAGCGTTTGACGAGTAAAATCAATGTGTTTATTAAAAGACATTTTGTATCCATGATTTACTCCCAGATCTTTAATGTGTGGAACAGATTCAATTATTGTATTTTGAATACCTATAATTTACTGTTACTTCAGTATGGCCACGCATTACAATGAAGTAGTTTACATTTGTTTATATTTAGTTCAAGTTTGTTTTCGTTACACCATGATATCATTCGATTTAGGTCGTCTTGAAGTAAACTAGCATCATTAACATCAGATATTTTACGCCAAATTTTGCAATCAGCGAAAAGATTAATGAAGAGTTTTTAAAAGGCTTCAACGATATCATTTATATAGATAATGAAGAACCATAGGTCCCAAATGTTATCCTTGGGAACTCCTGAATTACAAAAAATTTTACGGGATTTGTATTCTTTTGTCGAAAACTATTTGGATCTTCCAGTAAGATGTGACTTGAAACCAGTTCATAGGAATGTGACACAGATTGAGTTTATGAATTTTTTGTGAATAAAATATTGATATCTACTTTGTCAAACGCTGTACTAATGTCTGTATATATCACATCAATTTGAGCACCTTCATCTAGTGCACTGATTAAATCCATGACTAAACATCAGTAAATTTGTCATGTTGAACGACCAGTTATAAATCCATGTTGTTGATTAATTATGTGGTTTTCCATTTGTTGGTTTTAAATAATCTAAAACAATCTCTTCAAAGATTTTTGCTACTGTAGATAAAATACTGATAGGTCTATAGTTTACTTCATTTTTACTTCCGGATTTATGTACTGGCGTTATGTAACTGATTTTCCAGATCATAGAAAATATTCCAGATTTTATAGATTTATCATAAATCATGCTAAGAGGAAGTGGCAAATGAAGATGCACATTTCTTCAAAATAATTTCTGGAATTTCATCTGGTCCGGTGCTAAATTTATTCCTCCAGTTATTCAGTTCTTTCAAGGACTATATTTGGTGTAATATTTATGATGTAATTTCTATCGGGAATCTGAATAGATTGAGGTTCGTTGGATTATGTAGAGTACACAACTCAAAATCTTTCGCAAATAAATTTACTACTTCATTTCCAAGATTCTGCAGAATCATTGCCTAGTTTAACATTAAGTGGAATGCCCTTTCAGATTTTCTGTCATCAATAAAGTTCCAAAATTTTTTTGGATCTTCGTCAATAGATTTCTCAATCGATTCAGTTTGACGATTATCAATGTTTCTTCTCAGTTTTTTTACATTCCACATTTTTACATTACATTTGATTCACACACTTTTCTTTTTTAACAATTTTATACAACAATGAGAAGAATTCTCAGCATTTCCAACTGCCAACATTGCAAGAACCACAATAACTTTATATAAGTAATTGATAGTAAAAGGAAAGTGTGACTGATGGATAATGAAATTACACATTTTCACTTCAAGGACCATACTGACATTCTCTTGTTTTTTCTTGTAGCAAAACACCACAACCTACTGATGTTCCATGATGATGACATTGCATAAAGAAATCTTAACTTAAAAAATTAATCAAAAGTTATGGTATTCTACAGATGGTAAATGAAAAGTATTATCCGAGAATATGGGAATAAATATGGGAATTCCATACCACAGCAATTAGTTTATATGCATTTTAATTTGGAAAACCATTATATAAACTTCAAGATGAAAAAAAAAATGCATTTTCTGTAAGTACCTTCAGATTGTGGAATTAGGGGAAAAGAAATAGTTGATAGCTTACCAAAAGAAGACAAATAATATTAACACACAAAAAGAAATTACATCACTGCGGTATGCAGTAAAGCTCTTTATTTAAACGATAGCATAGCATTTCTATTAACCATATAGAAATCTGTATTTCTTCCATATCCTGACCAATCAACAACTTCCCCGCAGATTTGCATCGGAAAACTTATGTTTTAGTATGCATGTGACCTTCATTTGTGTAATTGCACCCCTGTGAGCAGCAAAACTTTTTGGCGTGTTTAGTAGCACGATCTTCTTGATATTAAAAATACACTTTAAGTTAGTGCTGTGTACTTTGACCATGCAAAGGTACCTCATGGTGCAGTGCTGTGACATTCAAAGTTGTTAAACATATTAGGAATGATTATATATTAGGTAAAATGATACTGGAGTATGTTATTAAGGTATAATTCCCTACATCTTTGTCACAGGAAGGTCTCTTAACAAAGTGTTAAGTCAAAACTGTTATTTAGAAAAAAGATTATGACACCAACCCTCTGACTCGAAGAATGAATAAAGAAAAACATTTTCAGAATCTTCTTCTGAATTCAGAATCTTTTTTAGAATTCTGAATTCGGAATATTTTTCTGATATACAGATAAAACTTAGTACACTTACCCAATGTGAACAAACACATTCAGCCAATTGAAAATAACATTTGGAATTTGAGCAGCAAATGTTAAATAGTTCATAAAATTTGATCGTATTTGCTCCATATCATCTGTACCATTATTTACGGGCTTTAATTTAAAATCTACAAAGTACTGGAAGAGAAACAAAATTAAATACATAAATATCAATATCATTACTTTCAGAGGGAATAGTAAAATCACAATTGAATGTAAATAAACAGTTCTGAAGAGTTTATAACCAACATCACCCTTACCTACATCACTCATTACTATTTACACCTTACCTTATCATTACCTAGTCATTACCATTTTTTAAAATCAGAATACACACACATTCCATTAATATATTCACAATCTTATAAACCACGAGAATCGATAACAGGCCGTTTACATTATACAGTTCTATTTAGTTCTTACATTTATTTATATTTAGGTATAGAAGCCAGAAAATTAAATGCACCCCAAAATTGAAAACTTAATTACTAGAGGAAAAAGGATCAGCGTATAATATGAGAACCGGCATACAGAGAAATTGCAGATTGTGGATACGCAATCTGTAGACGTGTTCCAGACAACACTGAAGCACTACTACTTACAAGCACTATTACACCAATAGGTTTTTAAAGGGCAAAAGAAGGAGAAATGGGTAAGAACTTGGAATAATGAAATACAAGAAACCATAGCCAAAAAAAGAAAGCATACCAAAAACATCTTCAAACACACAACACAGAAGACCAATACTGAATATAAAAGATACAGAGCTCAGACAGAAGAATAACCCCGAGCATTAAAAGGAGACTGGAAGACAGTTGTGATAATGCTAGAAAGGGATATCACAAGCTCCCAGAGAAATTGTTACAAAATATTAAGAATGCTGAGATCGGAGACAAGGGAATAAAAGATATTACACTGAAATCAGAAAAAAGGTCAAAGCAGAAAATAGTGGATGATATTAAAAAAAACAGAAGATTTGCATCTATTGCATTTGCAATTATATTAGTAGTGATATCCTTTTTTAATTGCAGTTTGGAGTTAACCTCATATGCTCAGCATCACTCAGGAGATCAAGATAAATTCACACCTCTCATATGGAAATAAGTGCTATTATTCAAGCCTTTGATTAGAATAAAAACTCATATGGATACAAATTCATCAATTACATTACCTTCCTCTTTGCTTTAGTCAAATAAAAAAAAAAGCACACACTCATTTTATGCAATTTATCCATCTTCAGATAAATGTACATAAATAATGATTGTTAATAGGTTATCATGTTTTAAAGTGGATGTAATTTTTTAGCAAATTCATTCCTATTTAACACACATATGCAAAATAGAAGCTTCTTGTTGGCAAGATGAAACAAAAATATATCACTTTAATATAAATAATACTTACTGCACGTGCATTTATGAACATGTTCCACGGTAGTAAAACTCCAATTCCATGCAAAAGCAATGTGAAATACACCAACTTGCACCTGAAAAATTCAATCATAAAATGTATGATTCATCAAACTAAAAATGGAAAGAGTGAGAAGTTCAAAGAGAGTCACTGAACTTGGCTATCACCTGTTAGGTAAAGGATAGACAAGTTCACTCTTTGAACTTTTCATTGAATAAAAGAGCAATCTTAAACAAATGTCATCCTGAGAAATGAACTGACTTTCATGTTCCACATCAAGCAATGCAACATTTTATTAAGTCCTAAACTGTCAAATGGACAACTAGGGATACTGCTGGCCAGGGTAGATGACTTTGTAGAACCTTGGATAATACAAGCTGTTTTTGGGCATTGTCTCTGTTGGAATAGCATCTAGTTGCATGAATGGTAACAGGACAGATTGAATTATATTGTGGATCTAATATGCATTTGTTCAATGTTTCTTCTACAACCAGCAAAGGTGAACAGTCATTATAAGCTTTTCATCCTAGATGCTGGGTGATGCCCCTGCATGCAACGGATGCATGCCTGCCCCCTGGATACCAAGGCCCTGCATACACTGCAGAAGTGCTCTCGCTGCATGGCATTAAACACAACAATCATTAGCACCAGAGCAAAATTGTCTCTCAACACTGAAGAGAAATCACCATTTGTCCTTCCAGGTGTGCCTTCGCCTTTGTTTCCTAAACCCTCCCTCGCTCATCAATTTCCTTGTGGATGGCATGTCTTGCAAATTCAGTGTACAATGCTAATTTTCACTTTAATTGCAGAATATTTGCTGTACTACATTCTCACAATTTCCTGAAGTAGCCTCTTAAGAGGGGTAAATTCAGAAAATTGCTATTGTGGGACAGCCCAGCGATTAAGGAGAGAGACCATTAACAGGGGTATAATTCACATACAATATGAAGGTTCCAATATTCATTGAAAGTTGTTGTTCAGGACATACCTCTCCACACCCAGGCTGATGGTCACTTGCACTTCTGGTCACAAAATTGATGCACTATAGATACCTCTCACCCCCAAGTGTTGTTCAAAACAATTCAGAGAAATGATCGCCCAGCCAACCCACACTTTGCTCAAATTCTGCCAGTAGCACAATCAGTGCATATCTATGCAAGGTTCTAGTGTTGCAAATTTGATAGAGATTCCTACAATGCAAAAGTACTGGCTACTAGTTCAGAAGATGAACTGCTGGTCAGCTTGCACATTCTCCAATTGATTATGTGATTTGTGTTTGTTTGCAGGACTGCAAGGTTCATCATCACTTAAACTGCCCTCTAATAGCATTGTGTTCATGTTGGGTATTTCTCACTTACCTTCTTCTAAGTGTTCTTCTTTTTCCAGTTTTTTCTCATTATTTTTTATTTTCCAGGAATGTATAAGTTACACTTACTTCCAACCAGTGCTGGGGCTAGACAATTTCTGGCCCGGGACAAAACTAAACATACCCCCCCCCTCCCTCAATTGAAAATGAAAGTTGTATCAAGAAATTATACAAGTTATTTTGGTGCAAAAACAAAGAAAACAAACTTTACCCAAGCGCAACCACTGCTCAGGATTAGTCAAGCAATAGCTCACTACTCCGAGTCTCCTTTACAGGTGTGTCATGGGGGGAGAGGGGGTATTCAAAATAACCAAAATTTGCATTACATAATTTAGGTAAGAGCTCTAAGAAATCATAAAAATATCTGTAATGGGTGTATGTATTGGTGATCAAGCTTTACAGGGAAAAAAGAATGAAAGAAGAAAACCTTTCAAAAACACTAGTGAAAAATTTCTAAAGAGGGGTGTATGCGTGCGACTGTGTGTATTGTTTTTGTTTTTTCAACATGATGCATCAATTTATCTATTTCTTCTTACAGAAGAGAAATTTAAGGATATTGTCTGTGACTTGACTGAACACATTCCCTAGGAATTGACTTTTAAAGGGAAGAAGTTACCAATGAAAGTAGTACAGTGGGGAAGAAGGGGAAAACAAATACATGTTTAAAGGTGTATTGTTATAATATTATGCTTTATAGAGTATGTTATATATTGTGAATTAGATTTGAAATATATTTTCCATGCTAAGATCAAGACATGTAACCTATCGTGCAGAAAGAGGCTGAAAGTCAAATTTTTCAATTTTCAGATTTTTGAGAAATTTACTAAGATACTGATAATTTTTAAAAAGAGTTCATGCTTCTTGGAACAGAAGATATTAATCATTGAATGATGTATAAATAAGTTGATTTGAGAAAAATGGGATTGAAGTTTTCTCTAACAAGATTCACTCAAAAAAATTCTTAACAGATGTAATCTAAAAAAATTGAACTACTTATTATCTTGCAATTTGTTAGGAAAGTTCACTGGTAGCACAAGAAGTCAAAATTGAAATATACAAATTTTACGCCCAGACACTTTAACTCTCCTAGATAATGTATTTTGGAGACCAGGTTCCACTCCAGTCAACAGGTCCCATTTGAAACTTACTTTGGTGTTTTTTCCATTGATATAAATGTTACAATAGCATAGTGCAGCATATTCTTAAATATAAAACTGACATTCATCTTGCAAAATGTATTCTAATTCGCAAACAAATAGATTACTACTTAAAAATAGAATCTCTTCAAAATTACACATGAATATTTACCAATCTCTTGGGGGATTAATTTCTAAGTCAGCTTGTTCCATTGTAACTCCTTTGAAATTCAGTTCGTCGTTGGGAAGATTAGTCTCCTCCCAAGCTGGTGTCAGTTTAACAGGTTCTGCTAATGGTCTATCAAAAAGAGGTTGCTTCTCATGAAAATCTGCCCCTACAAAATTGTAAAAACATTATAATTATGTATTTGCTGGCAACTTAACACATCAATTCTGGGAATACAGAAGTCACTAAGTATCAACTAATCATCAATTAAGCTTATAGCAAGATTTTAAAATAATATGCATTCCCAAAGGCAAAACTCCCCAAAATAATCATTACCAAACATTTAGATTATTTTAAAATACCTAAATGGCCAGTAATTGTCACTTTTAAGAAAATATACAAGCACAAAATGAAACCAAGTACAAAAATTAATAAAAAAATAGAAAATTTTCTTAATTAACTGGAAGTACCAAATAACCTCATTTGTATCCTAACAAATGGCATATCACTGAAACATTCAATTCCTTTTTAATGAAATTTTGTAAGTGTACTTGGTGTCTTCCAATCTCAAGGGGTCAATAGTCAACTCAAAAATAGTCTGAATGTGAAAACAAGATGTGGATATGATATTCAACACTTTAAGGTACTGAACAATATTCTACACTCATTCGAGACTAATTCAATTAAAAAATATTTCCAAGTTTTATCAAGTAACAAACTTGTAAATTTAAGTTTTCAAATTCAGTCACTTCGACAGCAAAAGAAAGCACAATTAAAAGATTATCTACCACATTAAATAAATGTGAGGAAGCAGAAGAGAAAATGGAGATAGAAATAGAAAGGGAAAATAGACCATACACTTATCTATTCAACAAAATTTGGATATGTCATTAACAATTACAAAATATCACAAGACAACATGAGCATTCACACAATAGTGTAAATTCAATAGTGAAAAAATATATTAATATAACTACCTCAATGAAATTTAATCAAATACTTACATGTTTTCAAAGCAATTCTCATTACTACCCCGATGTTAAAACCAACATTCAAACCCAAAAAGGAAGAAGTGACTGAAAATTTTACTTCCAGTAATACTCTTATTAAAAAAAGAGAGGTCAATATTGCTTCAAATTCTGATATTTTTGCCTACAACATAACACATTTACTGAAACCAGGACTGCTGAAGAGGAAAGGCACTTTTCAACCAATACAATATTTCTTTCGAAGTTAAACACTAGAAAACTCAAAACCAAAGGTCAACTACAGTTCACAAATAATAAGCTTACTACTTTCAGAATAAAATGTGCATTTGCATTGTAATGCGTGCAAAAATATAGCATACATAGAGTTTCTTGTAACAAATGTGTATTTCTATATACTTCATTACTAGTACCCTATAACCTGACCCTGAGGGGCAAAATAATAATAATAATAATAATAATAATAATAATAATAATA